AGGAAATCGGTTTCACAGGTTTGCTCGATCCATTTAGGTCCAGCCTGTATAGGTATTGAGAGACCCTGTCAATTCATAGAGATTGAATGGGACTGAATCATTTGCAGAAACATGGTCTTTAAGCAGGCCCCAGCATTTAATAGAGATTCAGACAGATCATTTATCAGCTTCGAGCCTGAAACCTGTCTGGCTTCAGGAACAGCGGTCTTTCAGAATGTGAAACGGGAGGAGCGCTTCTCAAGCTGGCTTGACTGTGCTTCAGTCAAGACAAAGAAGGAAGACCCAGGCGTGTGAGATCATGATATCCTGCACTGATCTGCCTGCGCATGTAGATGCCATAGTCGTCCGCAGTCCATGGAAGTCATTGACTTGGCTGGGTATCGTCAAGTATCCTTGAGTGTCCTTGTTGCATTTGACAGGTTCAGACGGGAAGGTTGAAGCAAAGAAGATCAAATCCGAGCCAGGCTGCTAGCAAAAGTGATTGATTTTATGTGATTTCTATGCAATTGTAGGGGTTCTAATTGAACACTACAATAAAATTACGGGGACTATATGATACTATATGGGACTATACTGTACTGGACTGGACTGATCTGTATACTTTCTCATATTCACATTCTGGATCGACGTGAAGCCTTGCGGATCTTAGAAACCCGCAGGTGCAGTTGATTCAGAAGATGAAATGTTGGTAGCGCCCGCTGCAGCTGAGCCACCTCAAGCAGGTCGGTTTAACTCTGCCTCTATATAATGATTGGGGATGATTGGGGCATAGTTTTTGAAATGTGATCCTTGCATTTTATAGTGTCGCCACGTGAGTCTCATGTATGTGTGATTCTCCGCCGGGTCGGCAGGTCAGCGTGAGAATTTTGACAGATACTTGGAACCGGCGAGTCCCGAAACAGCACTCGCCATCGCGCGATACGCAGAGAAGGTGAAGTCCGATGGCTTTTATCTTTCTTTCGTGGACATGTTTCTATTTGCTGAAGAGAAGGAAGCATCCATTAGATATGTGATTCACGAGGAAGGCAAGCTCTTAGAGCCCGAGAGTGCTTTACTGGCAATTCAGCAAATGCTGCCCAAGGAAATGGATATAGAAAAACATTGTTCCGCTCATGATCCGTCGAGTCCCATGTGTTGGCACTTTCTTCTCTGCAAATTTGATTTTAGTTCAGACCAGCTTTGCAATCTGCAACACTGGGTGCCTTGCTTCTACAAAGATTGTGTTGGCGAAGACACATGGGCCGCTTGCATCCAGATGTACACCAGCAGTTTGGAGGAACGGAAGCTGCAAATAGAAGCAAACATCATAGAATCCATGCAGAACGACGCTGAGGACAAGATGCAGGATGCATGCCTGGAAGCGCATTTGGAAGCCCAGGAACATCTCCAGTTGGAAGAGAAAACCTTCAAAGGCCTCCACTCAATGAACCTTTTTCCTGTCCAAGTTCCTGGCAATGGGAACTGCGGAGTGTGGTCTCTACTTGCGTGTTCTGAGGGTCTTGCGTTTTCATTGAGCGCCGACCTGGAGACTCCGGAAGCAGTCGAAGCTTGCGCTGGTGTTCGCGGAGAAACTTGGCGGGTGCATGCTGTTGATGGGCACATGATGGACCCAAAGGGATCCAAAGGGGACCCTGTCTTTTTATAGTGGGCGTGTTATCTCACCATATCATTGAGACTACAATAGAATACAATAGAATCCAATAGAATACGATAGACTAGATGTGTCATGATGTTTCTATGTGGGTATTACATGGTAATACCATGTATTACCTGATATTTCCTGCAACGTCCTCCGACCAGGAATTGGCCAACTTTTGGAGAGATTGGGCTCCGACACCACTATGCCAGACAATGTTCAAAGCCTGCAACCTGCATTTACTGGTTGAGGAAACTCCACCAAAAGAAGGTCTTCGCTTTGCGGCAGCCACACCTGAACGGGCATCCAAGATTGGGAAGACAGGGGACAAGCGCGATGACAGAGATTTGGAGACACCTCCTAAAGTCGCCACCCCTGTGCCCAACCGTGTGAAGAGGTGCCGGCCTGCGCCATATGGACAACCCCAGAAAAATTTATCAGTGATGCTTATGCCAGCGGATAAAAGAGCCAAGACATCAACAAAAGAATCCACAGAAGCCAGGAAGCAGAAGGCCGATGAAGAGTGTGAGCTAGCAAGTGATCCAGATGGCGAGGAGGACCCAGTTTCATAAAGATTCCTCTGATCATATTCATTCAGAACCACCAAACTATAGTCCCATTCGTTTAATAGATCTTTAGTTTGGACGTGCCCACATGTAAATTTACAGTACTGTAAAATATTTTACTGTAAACATCTGTAAACATATGTAAACATGTTCGCGCTATACTGTTTCATTGGCTTTCTATAGCTTTCTAGACTACAGGCATCCCTGCCATTTCATAGAGACCCCATGATGACAAAGGAGGCCCCATAATTTCATAGATGCGAGACAAGGTCCCTATTCACTGCAAGAAAAGTGGATTGTTGGCCTGAAAGACGGATTCCCTCTAACCCTTAGAATATAGATGTATATAGATGGATATAGTATATCAATCAGCCTGGATAAGTTTGGAGGTAGGCCCTATCATTGCATAGAGAATTTGTTGGAAAACATTCCTACCAATAGCTTTGTAGACTACCAGGATCTACCAGACATCATCCTGGTTACTACAATGCATTTTCATCTATGGTCCAAAAACGGGTGTCCTCCAATCCATATTTTGTTTAATCATTTTATCTTCATAGAACGATTGATTCTACTGATGGTAGTGCCAAACCAAGGGGAGATGACCTTTGG